GTTAATAACTGTAGTTCGTTAAAATTGTGCCGAAGCCCTCTGCAATTCCATTGAAGTACATTTAAATGATTCATGGCGGTTCCACAGGAGATCGCTCACGTGAATGTGAAGAGGAGACACAACTGTTGTTGTGATGTGAGGATGGAGTAACATCCATCTCCAAAGGATCAAAGAAGTTGTGAACATCTACAGATGTTTCAGTAGGAGTCGGGATCTTTGTTGTAATTTTCCTGTTTTGTTTTTTCTTTTGTTTTCTTGACGGGTCAGCTGATGTTTGTACAGTAGCTGACATTTCTGGAGCTGCTAAAGATTGAGTCAAAGTTTCACTCATAATCTTAGATGGTGGAGAAGAGGCACATGCTGTATTAGCTAACTGAGGTGTCTGGCTTTCAGATGTTGTCGTAATAGGCATTGGATGTTCAGAATTTGTCCATGTCAAATCTGTTTGACATTTTATGGATCTAGTTGTGGAAGGGCGAGAGACAGCTGCAGCATAGGTTTGTGTTGATGGAGGAGACCGGCTGGCAACAAGTTTTTTAGCATCTAGATAAGACAAATTATTTTGACATTTGACAGTCAAAATATCCTTTTCAAGTTTCCACAGTGGACAGGATTTGGAAGATGCAACATGTCGGCCATTACAATTAACACATTTGAGTTCAGCTGTACAATCAGAACCGTCGTGATTGCTACCACAGCGGCAACAAACAGACGATCGATTGCATGTCTTGGACCCATGTCCAAACTTCTGACATTTATAACATCGGAGTGGATTGGGGACATACACCTCCACTCCGATGTTGAAATAGCCTGCCTTTATTGATTGGGGTATGGTTGAAAGGGAGAAGGTAAACAAATATGTGTTCGTAGGAACGGAGGTCTCACCATCTTTTCTTGAGAAACGTTTCACTGACGTGACATGTTGTTCCTTTAATTCAAGAAGTATTTCGTCCTCTGACATCTCAGCCAGACAACGGGCTCTGTCGCGGATGATACCTCGACTTGAATTTAGCGTTCTGTGCTCAGAGACAGCTACTGCAGTGTTTGCAAACATTGTACAATTCAAAAGATTGATAGCTTGCTGTCTCCGTGCACACTCCACCAAAAGCGAGCCGCCCCGGAGCCGTGAAACATTTTTTACCTCTCCGCAAATACCTTCAATGGCTTTGCAAATTGCAAAGGGATTCATTTTTAAAGGATGTTCAGTTCCAGATTCGACTACAAGAAATCGTGACCAATTTGAATTTTGTTGAACAGAAGCAGCGTCAGATGAGAAAGTCTCAGCTTCAAAACGTCTTTTCTTTTCGTTGCGGTTTGAACCAGAGTGATTGGTTGCCATGGTGAAAGTAAATGATTCAGCACCCCTGCTCCCCACCCACCATGGAGTGCTACAAAGAGCGATGTTTTCCTGCACCGGATCTCCAACATGCAAACATCAGGGATACAGAGGTGGTATACTCCAGTAAGAACAACATGAATAGCTGTATTTGTCTAACAAATAAAATGTCAGGCTGGTTCGGCCCATGGCAAGAAATTGAAGACATACAGAACTCAGAGGTCGAAAGTACCAGATTGGCCCATGAGCCACCGCCTTCTGGCGTAAGACTCTAGGCAATTTATTCCATCAAAAATTGGTAATTCATACAAAGTATGCTTGGCCAAGTCCAAAATATACATTATAATACAACACAGGAGTGCATAAACAATACTACGCACAGGGCCTGGCATGACCAGCCGATTGATAAGACCGGGCCCATCTTACCACCCGTCTAGGCGAAGTAAGGGTCGAAGTAGTGTGTTGGGCAAAGGAACACAGTTCCAGGAACCAGTGCCCTCAACTACCAGACTCCCGTCCTCCGCCGACACAGGGACGCAACCCACGGCAAACGGGCTGCCCACTTTGGTCGCCTCTTACGACCAGCAATGGGGTGCTGTGGAAATATTCTACCCCCGTTCCACACGGGGGAAGAGCTATTAGCGCTACCCAGCACTCACCACGAGGAGGTTGCTCTTCACGAGTGCCTCTATTTCTGAGAGACGGACAGCTACTCGAAGGTAAATAAACAAAGCAGCCAAGGATAAAAATGAAAATATATCAATATACGAAAATAGAAATCATATCAATACAAAAACAGATATTATGTGAATAACAAACTCACAATAGATATGTGTACCCTACTCACACACATGAATCCCAAAGAGGGACAGGTCATCCGAAATTGCTTTGGCAGAAGGCGACCTCTTAAACATTTAATGCAACAACAACAACAACCTATCCACAGCGATCTAGCTGACAACATAGGGAGGCAAACTATCCGGCAGGCCGACCAGCCTGGTTGTCCCACAGCGAACTTGACTCACGGCAGCCATAGTAAAGCCAATCAGGCCCGCGCCCATCGTTATCTCGAAAACGTCGGCTCAGTTGCTTTACATTTTTCCCCTTATTTCCCCATTTATGCTCATTTCTTATTGTTTATTTATATTCATATCCTTACTTTTTGTTAATCATGGCTAACAACTATTGGCACAAACATTCCACACACTCAAATCAGCACCATCACAGGTTTTTACGCCTTAAAAACTGCACTCAAACACATGGAATTTAGCCATCCTTATTAAAAATCCAAATGCCAAAAAGCTCCACACCCTGGCCCAGGTATGTACCCTTTACGACAAATCATATCAGTACTTCCAAACAACCTTCAACCTTCTAAGATACACTTACCATTCCCAACTGAAATCTATTCAAAATTAAGCCCCTTCACCGTGTACTTTAGAGAGATGTTTCCCTTCATCTATTACTCCCGATCATGGAGATTTAAAGTGGAACTGCAATGGTCTCCGTTCAAATGGGCATGATCGTAAGGCACTTATAACCCAAAACAAAATTCAGCCCCTAATCATAGCAGTACCAGAAACCAATATATCACAAAATGCCTTTAGAATCCCAGGCTACCATTTCATTCGACAAGACAGACAACATGTCCTGAACATACTGGGACCCCCTCAAGGCGGGCTGGGTATATTCATCAAACACCTTGAGCTACGATGAAATCGATATACCCAAATCCAACTTAGCTGTCCTGGCTATTAAACCCACCATAAACCAAACAAATCACAATTATAAACATTTATCACACTTAAACAAAACCTTTTTACAGAAGAGGATTTCGAAACATTAACAAAATTGATAATCCCAAACACACTTTTCAAAGGAAACCTCAATGCACACCGCCCACTGTGGGGCACAAAGAAATATTTCGATAAATTTGGCAAACTTATAATAGATTGGATGGATACCAACAACCTCATCTGTTTAAATAATAACCAACCCACCAGATTCCCCAACAGCCTAATTCAAAACCCAACAGCAGTGGACCTTTCAATAACTAGCATTAACTTATCTCAAAAACTCAGCTGGGACATTCACAACGATACATGCCCAATGACCACTGCCCAATTAAAATTACACTAAATCTTCAAAAATCAGCCCAAAACCCTACTCTCGACCCAAACACCCAGCAAACATATTTTAACTTTAAAAAAGCTAATTGGCAGCTCATCACAAAACTGTGCAACAAACTATACACACACAACTTAGACAATGATACCCTTAACACAAACTTAATAAACACAATACACGACACAGCAAACAAATCCATCCCCATAACAAAAACAAACCCAACCCACAATCCTGTCCCCTAGGAGAGTTCAGAAATTATAAATTCTAGTTTTGTTTTGTTTGTGTGTTTGTTGTTTAACGCCGCACTCAGCAATATTCCAGCTATATAACGGCGGTCTGTAAAATAATTGAGTCTGGGCCAGACAATCCAGTGAATGACATCATGAGCATCGATCCACGCAATTGGTATCGATGACATGTATCTTAGACTTAATTAAAAGCAGCACTCTTAAAAAACAAATTTTAGAACTGTCCCAAACTAATTACCATTATTAAAAAACATCAATAATGCCACTTTCTTGATTTCGTATCGGGATCGAAATTCCAGCCCGGATTGTCTTCTACGACGTCCGCTCGCAAGTTCCAGATTGACCGGCCACTAAAAATCCTTTAACCAGTCTCCTCGCCATGGCCACCAACAAGACAAGTACACCACCTTAACACAAGCCTGACTGACCCCCCTCCCTGCCCCCTCAGCCCGACGTTTTTTTTATCATACTTAGGTATTACATGTAAGTTTATCCCCGTTTTTCTTTATTGCATATGCTTTGTATTTAAACATCAACTTAACTCATACATATCATTATTATCTTTTCATTTTCTACAACACTCTTATCATTACTACATATTGTACACTGTATATTATTTTTCACTTCTGTTACAGGTCAGGTTCTTTCCCCAGTACACCAGCTGCTAACTTCTCTCAACCAACTACTTCAATATATTTATTTCATTAAATTTAACCCAACAATTTATAGTTTTTTTAGTCAGACGTTTACATCCATTTTCCACATATTCAGTATCTAAATTATAACCCCCGCCTGACCCCGACTGCGAAATTGACACAGTCCGAAGCGGTCGTTAAACTTCCAAATCATCATCTTCACTATGTAGGATAGACACCCATGCAGGCCCCAGATGCCCTCTGGTCACCTTATCAAATGGTGCAATAACTTTCTCTGATTTGCCTATGGTTAATTGATTGAAAGTAAATTGATTGACATGCATCAACCAAGTCAGCGAACCTGACCACCCGATCCCGTTTGTCGCCTCTTACGACAAGCGTAGTCGCCTTTTACGGCAAGCATGGGTTGCTGAAGAACTTTTCTACTCCGGATCTTCACGGGTGTTTAGAGTAATGACACCATGACACCATCTCGGGCAGTCAAGTGTGAATGGCGTTCCTTCAATATGAACTAATCCTGTATTCCTTTCTATATCACTCAGAAACACTTAGCAAACTGATCAATATAATCGATGTGCAAGTAATGTTTCCATGCTAACCTGCAGACAGATAGACCAACTCGTGGAACGTTGACGTATTCTAAACAACTGTTGTCAAAGTGTTGATATGATGTACATATCCTTCCAGAGATTCGTTCATTTCGATGTGTACATTTGTTGTCAAATACTCTCGTGTATGGTACAGTTCACAAATACATGTATGCCGAATCTTCATTATGGAAACCACCTCGTCGGGTCAACATTTAAGATTATTGAGAAGTCGTCGCTATTCTCCTGTGCCGCTGAATGTGTTTCATATGGAATATGCAAATCCTTCAATTTTGAAGTTGGTCGGAGAGCGTGTCATCTGAATGGTTTAGATGACCTAGACTATCTGGAAGGTGGAGGGAGAGATCCAGATTTCATTTACAGTTCTATTATAAGTTGGAACAAGGTAACATTACAATGGAAATACTTGTCCTTTATGAATTTATGAGTGAGTGAGCGAGTTGGGTTTAATACCGCTTTTAACAGAATTCCAGTTATATCACGGCGCACCCAGCTTGATGTGGGAGGAAATCCCGAAGTGATGCAGATCTCAGGCGTTTACCACTTTGGTGAAACCCACGAGCACGGGTATGGTGCTGACAAACCTAGAAACATAATAGGAGGAGATCTGGATTTCATCTACACTTAAATTGTAAATTGGAACAAGGTAGTAGTAGTAGTAGTAGTAGTAGTAGTAGTAATAGTAGTAGTAGTAGTAGTACGATGGAAATACTTTTCCCTCATAAAAATATGCTCATAAAAGTATGTTTAGTGATATGATATCAGCTCCAAAAGCCGTTAACCAGCTATTTGTTTTAATAATGTTACAGACAACACTTGGTCCATGCCATGACAACCAATGTGGATACACACAGAGATGCAATTCCAAGAGAAATGGCAACGTTCACTGTGGTATGTACGCTATATTAACGACAGACTACATGTTGCCTACGAACAGTGATCTCTTACACATCGAACACCGACAGTGAAAATATATTTGTCAAACAAAATACATGCATGGGGTTTTTGGATTTAGCAAGAAGCAGACACCAACACGAAGTGCACATCCACAAAACTTGTAAACTAAGAATAAAATAGTAATATAACCTCATTTGGAAACTTATGGTTCGTTTTTAGATGGAATCCAACCCATTGTTACTAATACAGTTTTACTTCTTTTGGAAATTATGTGGAAACAGATCGTCAGAATTGTAACTTCAACAACAAATGATTACGCATAAGGTGGTGAAAACGATGACTTGGTTCAAGCGTATTCCTTCTTTATTCATCATCATTTAAGCTGTGATGTGTCTTATCGGATGTGTCGAACTTAACGGTTTTCCAGTCCCAAGCATGTACCTCCACCACAAATTTACCATGATAAGTTGATCTCGCCTCGACTCACGGTCATCAAGGTTTAGTAAGCAAGGCTTTATAAGCCGGAAATCTGCACCGCATTGAGTTCAGCGTGTCGAAGGGCTATTATCTTGTTAGTTACACTTGATTGCACCCAACTTCAAAGAAACGTATATAATCGAACAATTTCTTCACTGATCAGTTGCAAGGCCAAACTAGTTACGTCAAAAGGATATAATCTACAACTTCTACATGAAGATATGTGATCCTAACGGCCGAACGGCATCAGTCATATCCAGTGCTGGTGACAAACGTCTGAGATGGGATTCAGATTAGAATCTTACAGTTTGTGAAAAGAATGACAAATGCAAATACGGAGCACTTGTAAACTTCCAAAAATATAAATACATTACGTCAAAATAAACTGCTGGGTAAAAGAAGTGTATCCCCATGTTTGATGGTGGCTGGTAATGAAACAAAGAAGAAATGGTTAATAGATACTGATGTATTTGATATGTGTATTACAGGCGGTAGTACATGCATCATACCAATGAGTAGGTCACAACGGAAGACGTCCACATGACTTCTAAAGGAACACGGGGGCTGCAACTTCACAGTACACAGTGATGTGCAGAGTGAAAAGGATATTTTCAAGTGTATACTTTCTATTTTATATCAGTGAATGGCCATTACATTGCCTATAACTGAAGTTTGTTTTCTTACAACAGAGGAATTTCTGCCTAATATTGCCAAGAGTAAGTCAACAACTTCAAGTTCTGTTTACAAGTACCAGCCAAGTGTTGCAGTGGACGGTGATCTTACAGCAGCATGGTCTTCTGGATCCTGTTTCCATGTTGCCTACGGTGATTTCTCACCATGGTGGCAGGTGGACTTGCTGGACAATTATGTCATCGTGGAAGTTCGTGTCACTGGCAGAGAAGACTGTTGTCGTAAGACAAGCGTTTTTTATTCTCATTTTAAACTATTTTTCATTTCAGTTTCTCTTAAAGCCCATAATAAAAGAAAGTCACAATCTGTAAATACTGATATCACTTAAGTATTTTGTAAATGTAATACCGTCGATGATCATAGCAAAACTACTTGCTTATATTAAGCTACCATTGTATATATGATATCAGTTTGGTGTTTCAGCTCAGCCACTTTCATCTGAACGTGTACCAAGCCGACCCTTTGGTTGACCCTTGTGTTCGTCCCAAGTTGTTTTACATGTACAATGCAGCCGTCGACTTAGTGGAAAGAAAACCAAACACATCAACTTTTATTTGCAATTATATTGCAACCTTATGTTTAGGAAACATTTTAGTTGACCTACAGTTATACATTTGACATCGTTTTGGTGTTTCAGCTGAGCGTCTTCACGACTTTGCTCTTGACGTGTACCAAGCCGACCCTATTGCTTACCCTGATGTCAGTCCACAACTGTGTTACATGTACAATGCAAACGTCACAGAGCGTGGCAAAACTGTTGCCATACAGTGCACCTCATCCGTGACAGGACGCTACCTGAGAGTTAGTGGAAAGGAAACCAAGAACGAGCTAGATGTCCTGCAGTTTTGTGAAGTCCAGGTCTTTGGTTACGATGTGATACACTGGTAAGTCTACAGCATCTACCATAAACAAAGTTTTGAAATCTTTATTATGATGTTCAAAAATCTTCTGAGCAAGAGTTACATGAAGCTTTGAAATCTTGGAAGAAAGAACATGCGCGAGTGTAACTCAAACGTTGTGAAATATTGCTTGACGCGAAGTTGGCCCACTTGAAAGTTGAAGTCATCCCTCTTCTCACACGCTTTCCACACGTGTGGATAAGTAATGTTTTCGTCACATTTACTGTTTTTTAAATACTTGTAACGTATGCTAGATGGATGACCTATATTGTGTAGAAATGCTGTCGTATTTATTGAATTTGTTTGAAATTACAGAATACTCCCTTACTCCAGTAATGTGCCACACGATGGATGAAGACACTAGGGGGAAACACGATGGAAAGGATTACAGGAGGGGATGCTGCTGATTGAGCAGCGTTTGCGCAATCTGACTGATCAGACGTTGTGTTTTCCAACTGCATTGTGGTTACTACTTTATATATAGAACGGACGATTACACACATCTTTTCAAAGTAACTTTGTTTACTGTGAGAGTGGTGTGAATGAGGCCTAGGGTATGTCGCCTTCTTTGTTTATTTTGATGAGAGGCTTTTGTATTACGGAATCATTTTCCTTTTGACTCGAATGCCAGCTCATGATTATTAAGTGTGTGAATAAAATATGTGTTAACATCACAAATCCATATACTAGTATTAAGTTTGAACCCTATTTTTCTTATGGACTAGACCGCCTCCATAATTTTGCAAGAAACGTATATTTGTTCTCCGTGAATTGTGCGCCTGTGTTGCTTTTGGAGTTCATCTACATTATTAACCTTTACATTTGATTAGTGTAGCCAAGTGTTTAACACTTATTTACTACAGATATAAACGATCAAAAGTTCAGAACTGAACATTATTCACTCATAAGGTTGCAGTACTCTCTTCTCCTGTGATAGGTTAAAGGGGAAAATAGGCTAAGCATGAAAATAGATTCTTTTCTAACAATATACTCGTGCACCTGTTTTTCCTCCCTTCATTATTTCTACATGCATCGACTTTTTATGATAAACTATTATCTAGGCATTTGTACCATTCATTGCACCATGTGCACTTCGACGTGTTATATACACCATGTTTCCCCATTACTATAGTTCTATTTACAATCGTATATTCAAAACCAGTAATAATTCTCTCATTGCATTTTGTTTCAACAACCTTCTTTGTAGCGCAAAGTGATTATTGGTAGTGAAATAAACTTCTTGGAATTCAAACCACAGTCTTTCGTATTTGTCAGGTTTGTCAGTTGCACTGGTGGAACTTTAGCACTATAACAAGATTTGGTTCCATTTGTAATATGTATTTCCCCGTTTGTTATATATCGCTTAAGCTACTGTTTCTACACATGCAACTTTGTTAATCACTGAGAGATTTTATTTGGAGCACACATATCCATGTTTTCACAAATTAGTCCAATAAAAATGTGATCGAAAATAATTGTTTTCGTTTGCTGGCCAGATTCAAACACTATTCAAACTTTCCTCAGTGAGCGAGCGAGTTTAACGCTGCTTTGACAAGTATTTCAGCTTTATCACAGTGAGGCAGCGTACAGTGTACAAGGACGAGGGTAATGCGTGCAACAGAGATTGATATGTATTTTCTTCAGTATTTATCCCAGTCATCTGAGGCGCTGCGATTCGCTGTGCAGAGTTGAGTCCCTTGGGCTCGCCCGAAACCTATGATTGTGGGTTCGAATCCCGGTTTGCCCCGATTATGGTTCTAGGTTCGTCAGCGCCATGCCCGTGATCGTGGGTTTCACCGAAGTGGTAAACGTCTGAGAGTTGCATCACTTCGGGATTTCCTCACGCCGTGATATACCTGGAATACTGGAATACCTTGAATACTGTTAAAAGCGGCGTTAAACCCACCTCACTCACCAGTATTTTTGTTTGACCAATAATGTAAACGTATAACACTTAAAACAATGCGGAACAATGCTATGAGGCCCACCTAGGTACTTGAAGCATAACTGATCTCGTTCAAAATGTTGACCTTTTGGATCCTTGGAGATTAGATGGACTATTAAACCTATGCTATTAGTACTTCCCAAGCCTATATTTCTGGAGTATGAATTGTAGAATTTCCAGTTACATAACAAAACTCATATTCGAATTAAATCATGAATAATAGTGAGCACGTGTATTTATTTACTACTTGGGATGATGAGCCGTCCCTGTAACTAGTTTGCCACAAAAGCTTTATATTATACACATACATGGGATCTGTAGTGAGTGAATGAGTTGTGTTTAACAGTATTTCAGTTATATAATAGCATGTCACCTGGTGAGACCCTCGAGCAAGGATGTAGTGCTGGCTCATAATCTGCGCGAATCCGGAATTCGAACGTAGCGTTCTGTGCCATAAGGATACCAAAGTCATTCTTATAGATTCCTTTGGTTTTGTTCTATTTTAACTTGTACCAAATATTCCTGTGTCTTTGCATGTGTTTGTGGCGGGTTCCACTCCTGGTGTCATCACTCTTTTGTAGTGTTTCACGTGCGCGAGATATAGTCGGAATCGTACAACCAATTACTTGCAGTCGACAATTCTTATGATTTTGGAAGTGTTTTGTCATTTCTGTGTGCAAATATCCGATCTTTATCAAAACTGCAGCATGGCTTATCTCCATTGTTTTCGTAAGTGATTTCATGACCAGCCGCGAGTAAAAGCAGCCCTTTTACATGTACCAGGAGTAACACATGGGGCTGTCAAATTTTAGAAACAAAACCCAAAGAAACAAAACTTGTTTCCTAATGACCAAGCAATAACAAAGGGGTATTTACGGATGCATAGTCTAAAGACATGAACAAAGGATGTTGTTAGCAACTGGCAGTCAAAATTTAAAATTTAAAGAAGTCACTATCACAAACCGTTACACGTCAAATCCATTTGAGTTCACTCAGTGACTCGGCTGTTAGTGATAGTGAGGTAAATCAATATGTTTGTGCACGTGGCGTGATTGTGTTTGTCACTGCTGACTGAATGAAGAAAAAAGTGAAGATCAATTGTAATGTCTCTAAAATGTGGCTGGACAGGGAATGCATTTTCTATAGATGTGAATGTCATAGACCTCTACCAGCGTAAAGAAGTCGTGTCCCTCAAACGTTATTTTAGAGCAAGAAATGATTACACTTATGTATTACGGGAGAAGAAAAGAAGGTATAATGATTCTATTCTACACTAACAGCCAACACAAATAATGGAAAAGAGTTTGGAAAGCGAAACGATCTATACTCAACAACAAAAGTTCCTGTGACACCAATATTTTAGTGTATTTAACTTAAGTAAAGTTTGGTTTTCAATATTGTAGTACATGTATGGAATCAAGTCACAAAAACGCAACTGCTACAGAAAAGCATGCATTCCATACAAAAGTTGACTTTTATGCAAACCCCATTAATTTCACTACCCAAGAATGGGTATAAAAACATGTGCGGGATTCCATATGCATTGTTTAGCATCTTGCTGACAACAACCACTCAGCAAAACAACAAAATTACGCAATTATTCAACATTACGAAATGCCACGCCTGTCCGAAAATGAGCGACTGCGAGCCATTGGTATGCTTGAAGCAGGATCGAGTCAACGTGATGTTGCAAGACAATTTAACGTCCACAGAAACACCATTTGGTGTTTATGGCAACGTTGGCAACAGACGAATGCAGTCAGAGACCATCCTCGGAGTGACAAGCCACGCGTAAACAATAATCGACAAGACAACTGGATTCGAACAAGACACCTACGAAATCGATTCCAGCCAGCAACAGTGACTGCAAGAAGCATCCCTGGCCTTCGACGAATATCTTCACAAACCGTACGTCGCCGCCTCAGATGTGCAGGGATTGTCGCCAGAAGACCCGCCAGACGTCCCGTTTTGACAGGAAAACACCGTCAAGCACGTCTACAGTGGTGCAGACAGCGTCTACATGGGACGGCCATGCAGTGGGGACAAGTCCATTCACTGACGAGACTCGTTTTCACCTCAGCCACAGCGGTGGGCGGATTCGAGTGTACCGACGTCGAGGTGAACGTTACGTCAATCATTGTGTCATGGAAGAAGGTCGGTTCGGGGGCGGCAGCGTTATGGTATGGGGTGGGATTACAGCAAGACAGAGGACCCGTTTGATAGTGGTAGAGGGAAATCTCAATAGACAGCGCTACCGCGACGAGATCATCGGCGCTGTTGTTCTACCGTTTTTGCGTCGTCATGGCCCAGGCATTACCTTTCAACATGACAAAGCCAGGCCTCATATTGCTCGACTTGCTCAGGATTCTCTTCAACAAAACAACATGGATGTCATCCCCTGGCCGGCTGGCTCCCCTGATCTCTCACCAATCGAGCAGATATGGGATGAGATGGATCGGCGCCTTCGACGTCAACCACGTGTTCCACAGACACTCCAGGAACTACGAAACATGCTCCAGCAGATATGGACAGATATCCCACAGGACTTTGTGCGACGCCTGGTCCATTTCATGAGACGAAAATATGTTGCTTGCATCGCAACCAGAGGTGGACACACACGCTATTGATTTGTAAATTGACATTTTGGCATGTTCACGCATTATCTGAAGTCAGTATGGCAAATTAAACCATTTGAACACTTACATAAGTCTTTTATCTGTTGCAAACCGAAACTGTTTCAGATTTGGTAAAAGAACATAACTTTGCATGAAATCTTATCTTAAATCAATGTCACAGGAACTTTTGTTGTTCAGTATATGACTGGAATTCATCTACACAATCCAAATATTCTCTTCAAAAAAAGAAACGCAAACCCAGATTTGTGTGAGGGAGGAAAATACATTTATACGAGGAACCGTACAAGGTATTGAGCCAAAATGTTGTGGAGAGAACACTTGGTGATTGTAGTCATCTCAGTTATCGGTACATAAGAAAAGTCCAAGGTGAAGGTCAGCTACCATCAATAACCCGAATGTCCCCCGTTA